ACACACACACACACACACTGACAGGGTCGTTGCAATATGTGTTTTTGCTGCCTGTTGCAGCGCTCTTGCGCTGCACGGCAAAAACGCATTAAAACCAAAAAACAGACACATGAGCCGCACCTGTGAAGCTGTAAAACAATAACCATTTATACTGTTAGTGAGCTGACTTCGTCAAATTTGGCACAAAAACGCGTGGTCTCACGGGCAAGCCTGTTGCTTCGTTACCTGGGTTTTATTAAAAGGTGGACCGCCTGCTCAAGCATGCTAATCAGGCCCGCATGTTGCCAAAGGTTGTCCATGCCTGATGTAGACATAGTTCTTTATAAACGACACCGCATAAAATTATATTAAAAAAATAGGAAATAAAAGAAGAAAATAACGGTAAAAAGCTCTCTAGAAAGAACTGGATAACTAGCGAAGATTGGTAAAAAACAACCAGATGAACAAAAGACAAAAGGAGCTATTTATACGCCCAGGTAACCAAGATTACAAGGGCTATGACACTTTAAAAGGAATGGGTGACCAAAGGTTAGTCTGAGCGTAAAATTTGTGAAGGAACCGGAAGGTATTGCATTATGGCGACATAACTTTTTTTGCGAAATACCAGTAAAAACAGTAAATCGTAATGTGATAATACATTGGCGCTGCTTGGAAGGTCTTTTCCCTCCTCTAAGCCGTTTTCTAATCGCTTTTTACCTTTGAAGGCGCCAGTACTTTGCGTACAACATTAATGAGTAGTCGAAGTGATAGGGAGACAAAGAGAGCAACCAGAAGGAACAAAGGAATGATTATATCGAGCAGATAATACTGCGCAAATGACAAGTTGTTGGCAGCCAAGTCAAAACTGTCGATCGGCCCAAATTTCGATGCAAAATCGACATGCCTCAACAGACGATCACGTGAAGAAAAAGGTTTTTGTCGGATCATTTCAAGTAGGCTCTCTGACGATTTGCGGTACCTGAATTCGCATTGTTTCTCGTAACGTTTTTTCTTGCATCATAAAGCACTTTCTTTGTTTGCAGTTTTCGATTAAACTGCGTAGTGATTGTAACTTCTGGTACGTTACGTTTATTCTGCTTAAGAAATCAGGGGATTTTCTCCCATTTAATTAATTTGACTGTTTTTTAACTTATCCATGGGCCGTTCTTAATCTCAGGCGGCAATCTCAGTTGGACAATATATATAATGCAAAAGTGTGAGTACACGGAATCAATTAGCGTAGGCTTTGCACCGCTGCAATGGTTTCAGTGATCCTCTTCTCCTCAGTAATAAAACGCTGCTATTCAAAGTCACTGTATCATTTCCAGTTTCCAGCTATATCTCATTTATGATCTGCAAGTTCACGTCTGGCATAGGGATATAACGCCTCAATACTGAATAGAAAATGGCCACAGAAATCGAATTACAATACAATCTGTAAAACATAGCCTTTTTGATGTGCTGAATGCTTCGGGCTGCACTCTTACAGATCTCACTGGATCAATTCAGTCAAGGAGTATGGAGCAGAATAAAGTTAAATATTCCTTATAATTCACTCCGCTCCGAAGACTAAATGGCTTCCCGCAAAAATCTCGCCAGAGAAAGCGCAAGAAAATGCACCTAAATAATAATTAACGAATACGAAAAGCTTACGTCGTGTCATAGAGTACTTTTTCGAGCGCACGCTTCAATGTATCCGATGACAGATCATTCTTGTCGACGTGAACAGCGATATTTCGCTTTACAGCTTTCTGCGTATTGTGTTTTTGATCAGCGAATAGTGGTACACACACGAGCGGTACTCCTTGGTGCACTGCTTCCGTCATACTATTCTGGCCGCAGTGCGATACGAACGCGCGCAAATTTGGATGCCCTAAAAATGAAACAGAAGCTCAT